AGAGGGGGAGAATCACCTCCTTTGACCCGGATACTAAAACCTTGGAGCCAGGAGTGGGGGTGAACCCTTAGCAGTCACTTACAGGAGCCACCGCTGCAGCCCCTCCCTTGCTTACCAGCAGAGCTGGAGTCCAGGGAAACCTTCAGCAGCTCCTTAGAGCCCCTCTCTGCTACCAGACAAACCCACCACACAAAATCACAACAGCTGATCACTTCTACATTGGGTAGAAAGTGTCTGTCCAACTGCAAATGCTCAGCTAGCAGCAGGACATCCAGATTGTCCTTGAAATGTCACATTAGATGATTTGTACTAGAAGTCATTCACTTCTTTGAGGTTCTGGCTGCTGATATACTGCTACCAGCTGAGTATATGGCATTACAAAAGAGAACAGCATTTTGCACCTCAAACCTCTCAACTTCAAAGGATTTAAACTTTATAAACAGAGACATAGCCTCAGTTGAGCAGCAAAGAAAGCAATTTATGTAAGCAGAAAGTCTGGAACAAATAATTAAAACATGAGACTAAACAAAAACATTTGTGAGTTTGTTGAAACAACTTTGAAATATAAACTCATTTTTTCTGTGTATATTTATTTGCACTTTACCTAAGGGTACCCTCTGAGCATGTTATTTCTTGCTTGTGTTGCATTTGGAAGTACATCAGCGGTCACCACTGCGGCACTCACTCTGCAGGCCCTTCTCACTGCACACCCATGCCTCACCCCAGAGGCAGCCTAGATATGCCCCACGCTGTGACAAACCTCTCTTCTGGTGTGCAAACTTTTATTCTGAACATCCAGATGAAAACCTGCAGTAGCACACATGCCATCCCTCAGCTCATCTCAAACCCACAGCTCCATAGCTCCTTTTTCTCCTGTAAGTTGTTGCAGGATTTCTAATCAGTAGTTCCCACTACCCCAAAAAATACTCTTCATTTTAGCATCTTCCATCACAGCCCAGTGAGCCACAGATCATGGCAACGTGCCACAGCAGTTGCAGTTGGGAAAGACATTACTCACGTCTTCTCATCCTGCAGAGGCTGAAGCAGCCCCTCAGGGGACTGCAGGGTTTGCACCCAGACAGATAGGCAACTGCAGTTTTTGTCTGTCGGGAGTAACTGACAGCAGCTCATCGCCTTTCAGCGTAACTGAAAGGAAACCGCAGGACAGTTTGTTGCAAACACTACTGCAATGCTACCTGCTCCTCACCTGAATTTAGCGGTGTTTCGTGGTCTCTGGCTCCCTTAGTGTGGTTATCACGGAAAAGGCACCACCGAAGCTGCCGGCGCTGGTGTCACGGCAGGGCCCGACTGCGCCATGGGCGATCGCATGGTGCCACCTCGTGGGGAATGGGACAGTGGTGAGTCCCCACCACCGCCTGAAGCCTGGCTTTGGGAGCATGAGGCCTCCCCAAGGATCCGGGGTACAGGAAGATAAGGGAGCAGGTCATGAACATCTGCCACAGGCACCTGCAAGCAGCGACATGTGAGCTGCTGGGACTGCAGTGACAGTGTGACATCCACGCCCTGCTTGGGATCAGTGATTGAATGGGACAAGTGAGGGGGGAAATAATACACAGATCATTTGGCAGGGAGATACAATTCATCCAGCAAAGCAAAGACTTGACCCAGTCCTCCACTAGACCGGCAGCAGGGCCCCCCCAGCGCCTCGGCACACCCCAGCTGAGTTGGCAGCTCGGCCCAGAGCTGCCAGGCCAGCAGCAGCGCTGAAGAACAAACCAGTGGGCAGGGGAGGGAGAAATCATACTTCAACTTGTATGGCAGCAATTTTTCACATTTTTAATATATACATGTCTAATATTAGTTACTCTGGGATGGCTCAGCTGCTTTAAAATGAACCATCTTCTGAATTGCTTTCAGATCAATGATTTTCACCAGCCGAAGACAAGGAAAGCATACCCATTTAACATCTAAATGTATTTAGAAAATAATTTGGGGCAGTTTCCTATCTCACAGTTGAAGTAGATTAGCTTTAGAAGTCAAGTCCCTTTCCATACACCGCAAAGCTGTGAGGCAGAGTTTATTGCTGTCACATGTATCATTTTGCTATGAAGGGGTACAAAATCCCAGAGCAAGGAAGACGCAAATGGGTGGTGGCACTCTCCAGCTCTTCCTGTTCTAGCCCATGATTTTGAAGCTGACAAAGACACCAAGGCTGCAGAAGGAAAATCCTCCTGTTAGCTGTTAGTGCTACAACAGGGCTTATCAGAGAGAGACAGACACCAAGGATCCTGCAGAAAATTAGATCTCGGAAGAGAATTATTAGCCAAGGCCAATTTCTGAGCAGTTACCCACAAACTGCCTTTGGGTGGTATACGGAAGCAGACAAAATACCCAGGAGCAACAGCCATGGGGCCACAGAGGGCTCAGGCCAGCCATCCACATGCCAAAGTCCTGCCAACCTTGCTGTGGTGTCCTGTGGTGCCACAACGGTCTAGGACAATCACCTATTAAAATTAGCTCTGGTATAATTAGTAGGAGCTGTAGTTGTGTATTTTCAGTATAGGAACACACTTGCAGTGCGGCAGGGCACAAGACTCGCAGTGCGCTAGAGCTCTGTGCCTCTTTAAACAAAGGGGAGGTGAGGGGGAAGAAAAAGCAGGAAGAACGCAATCCCAGAAAAATCTGTTTTTGTGGAAGATACTTTACAGAAGAAAACTTGAAGACATTGACCTCTTTAGGACTCATGTTACACCGCTCCAAGTATCCTGGCAGCAAAGACTTTCTTCTAGCAGAGAAAAGTATGCAGAGGACTGGTACCTGGAAACCAAAGCCAGCCCCATCAAGACACTGCAACCAGTGTTACTAACCACAGCAATTCTGCATGGCATAATATTAATCTTCCAGTCAAGACTGCAAGCCTTGATGGAAAGCAAATGTGCCTGTAAAAGCCACAGCCATGTGTAATACACCACTATAACATGCATAGTACTATTACTATTTCAGGCTTAACACACAGTACTCAGAGAATGGGCTGGTTTGTGGCAAAGCATCTTCCATTGGACCTTCCAGTCGACAAATTCCACTGACACATAGGAAGATGCTAAATTCTTAATGTAATTTCTGATCACACAGCAAGGAAGGAACTTTTCCTCAATTGTCCAGAAAAAAAAGCTGGAACTCCCAACTTTTCAAAAAGAAATTCAGAAATCAAACAAACAAACCAACCAATCCCAGTAAATTTACATTTTCATGTTCTCTGCAAATGGATAGAATAAATCAGACAATAGAACAGTCTCGAAACCTGAACCACTCTCCATTTCCCTGATATTTTAGATTCAGTACTGAGAGGCAAAGCATGGCACCACTACCCTGTTTCTTGCTGGCTGTATCTCTGAACAACAGCACAGCTTCTGAACACCACTGGATCAGACCCATTGCAAAGTGGACAGAATAAAACATCCCAAGTAAATGCAACAGGTTTCAGCTCCTCACACGCCTGCTTTCAAGTAAGTGTGCCAAGTTATATTTAAGAAAGGAACAGACTTTCTTGGTGGCAGAACTGTATTTAATTATTTTACATATACAAATTAAGAGAACACATACAAAATCACTGAAATAAGCCAAATCAGAACAAATTAATGTTTCAAAAATACTACAAAGAAAGATGAAACGGCTATAGTGGAAACAATAAAAAGCTTTTCAATTCCATTTTCTGCAAAATTACACTCTGAATACTACCTCATACACACAAAATGCAGCCCTCAGTGGAAAAAGCCCACTGCAGAATAGTTTTAAACCCACATATTATCCAAATGCAATTAAAGTAAATTCACATTTGAAGTGAGCCATCACATTTTATTTTTCTCTCCAGTAATAAATTATTGCTTAAAAACAATCACGTACTTTTTCCCACAAGCATTAATACTTTACAGCCTTAGTGATTCTAAACATGATGTCGTGAGGTTCCAAAATTTGTTACTGCTCAGGCACTCCACATAAAACATACCAGTTTATGCACACAAAATATGTTTATCTGATCAGCTGAGTTCTTTCCTTCTCTTGCATCAATGCCAAGAAGAAGATTTTGCTGCACCAATTAGGCCTTATGATTCCATGGTGACTAATTTTGACTTCTGCTGATGATGCATGAGAAGAAATCATAATCCAAGTAATACCCAAGATGGCCTGACTTTGCAGGACCAACAGGATGAAAAAGCAGTGACACTTATTTCTCACTCAAGCAAGCTCACTACACTCCTGATTATATTCTCAAAGTGCAAAAATAGGCTATTTATTGAGAACCGTGCTGTATTCCTCACAGAACTCAACCTCAGAGCAGAACCACACTTCAAGTTCACAGTTGCATAATAAAAAAGTCCCATGATTTTTTGACTAATTTGTGGTCTTATTGCCCAGGCAGAGCTCTGGTAGTGGGCTAACTCAACCTAAAGCAATTTACTTAACCCAAAAGTCAAATTGCTCCATTGAAGCAGGTATGGTAGAGTTCAGTTTTAAACACTGGTCTGAGACTACAAAGAAAAGGATTAAAGCAGAATTAGTTTTTAAAAACCCACAACCACACATAATTCTACTGGACAGACTTAAATTAAAACGGAAAAAAAATGTCTGAAAGTCTTATTGCAGACAGCCTGGAGAGCACTAGTTAGTATCATTTTTCAAAATGATGAGACAAACAACAGAATAGGTGTTTCTTAGCACCAAAGGAAATATGGTATTTCTCAGTTTATATCTAACCCCCAACTACAGAACACTTAGCTGTCAACTCCACCACCAATTCTAACACCTGAAACATCCAAATACAGTACCAAGGCTGCAGTCAGATGTGCTCTGGGTGACCACACTACTTCTTCCAAAATGCAATGGGACTCTACCAAATCAGTATGACAGTGTGACTACCAAGGTAGCTCAGTTAAAACATGTTTCAGTTCTTGTTTTGTGCTCTTAATCAATATTTTTCACTCTAAGTATAAAAAGCTGGACCAAGTTAAGTAAAAAATACAGCTCCACAGGTGCTACTCATAGGATCAGAAATGTTTGGGGTTTTTTTGTCATTCATTTTTCACAGCATCAAAGTTGTCCTGAATGGCAGGGCAAAAGGCTAGGACAGCTGGCCACAGTCAGTAATGACAATCTTTTTGGAGGGCCTTCCACTCTTGGAACCAAAGCTCTCAATTTTTTTCACAACATCCATTCCTTCCTTTACATGCCCAAAAACAACGTGTTTTCCATCTAGCCTGTAAAACAAATAGACAAAGGCAGTTTTACTTAAAACAACATAAAGACTGAACCAAGCTGAGCTCAGTGAAGGGATGTTAGCCAATCTTCATAGCTCTCACCTACTGATCAACTCTAGGCAAAGACACAACTGCTCTACAAGTGACATGAAATACTTTTAGCTCTGGACCTTAGAAGCATTTTGAGGGACAGCGGCCTTACTACCCTCACAGCCCTTCCTCCCTCAAGTAGCAAAAAACAATTTATTTTCCACTGTGAGTCCAGTATTTTGGAAATTAAAAAAAAAAAGCAAACCCCAACTGAATGAAACAAACAAAAGAACATCAACCCACAATAATACTAAGAAAATCCCGAACCCTCCAGATCCAGGCATTAATTCATGAGGTTAACATGCAGGGCTGAGAACCTACCAGTCAGTTTTTGCAGTGCAAATGAAGAACTGAGATCCATTTGTGTTGGGTCCCGCATTGGCCATTGAAAGAACACCTAGAACAGCAGCAGCAGCGCATTAGATTGGTCTAACAAACATGCAGTGGAGAATACAATTTTGTCCTGCACATTTAGATTAAAGATGGACAGACAGAAGATATGATGGTCTCACATTGTCTCCAAATTATTTCTAATCCCAACTTCTTGTCTTTGACTATTCCATCGAGCCCAGCCTCCTTTCCTTCCACATCAGGAAAGTCAGTAATGTAATTAGTTGTAGATGTACATATCCTGAATGTGATTAACATCAGGTAACTGATTAACATCAGGTAACCTCTACTGTGGTTCAACAGCAGCAGTAGTTTCATGTGATGAAGTAAGAATCCAAAAAAGAGAGACTATAGAATTCAGTCAGTTGTTCTTATGCATAGCTTTTCCCTTACTTTTTCTGTATTTGAGTTTACAAGGGCGTGCCTATATTACCTAGTAAATAAGAAATCCCAGATCGCTTTGTTTCACTTCTACAGTTATCACCTAAGTAAAAACTGGAAACTATTATTATGAAAGAGGAAAATAAAAGCTGTATTTTCACCTTTGCAGAATTTGTAAGTAAAAAAACCAAAACCACACCACTTTATTTTGCACAGTCCCTTTTATAGTAAGAGCATAAGAGCAAGAGTAGCAATGTCACCTGTTCCAGGCTGACTTATATTTGTACAGCAGTCTACACAAATAAGCACATACTAGGGACAATACCTTGTTAAACTTCCCCGATATTTCTGCACCTACCAAGTGCCCCACAAATCTATAAAACTCTTATTTTTTTCAAAATACATCTTCATAAACAATGCCTCATTATAGGTTAATGAAGTCATCAGAAGGTAGAAAGAATAAGTTTATTTACCAGGTCCTGTGTGCTTAAGTATGAAATTTTCATCCGGAAATCTACTGCCATAAATGGATTTTCCACCGGTTCCATTATGATTTGTAAAGTCACCACCCTGAAACAGAAATGGCTATTAACTCTACTAGCACACAAGCATTATTTTACATCAGAAGTGATGCTATTGAAAATATGCTCACTTGCTCTAATTTAAAAGTAATAAAGTCAGTAAATTTTCTTCAGGTTAAGAATGATTATGGTCACATGAAGATTAAAAACCATGTAACTAAATGAAGATACAACAAAGCCAAAAGTAAATTTCTGCTCCAGATATTGCTGGTATTCTCCAACTGACGTCCATAACTCCAACAACCACCTTTCAGTGTTACTGGCTTTGCTCCCAAATGTGATGCAACAAAGGCAGTAATTTTAAGAAACACCTCAAAGGCCTCAAAACAATATCACCCAAATTCATTACCACAGGCAAGACCTGAAAGTGTTTTTCCCCCCTTTCTTCCTTCCTTCCTTTCTTTTTCTTTCTTTCTTCCAACAGGTATAAACACTGGTCAGGATCTCCATTATTACTATTTGTTACTTCAAGATTTTGTGATGTATTTTAAACTTCCCTCAGCTCCATGCTGCTGGTTGCAACAGAGCTGACCACCTGTCTTAGACACAAAAAACTCAACAACCAAATAAACCCCAGCCACAGCGACTCCCAAAGGTGGCTGCTAAACACTGCTTCCAGCAATGTGCCATCTCTTCTCCCAGAAGCGACACCACCCACGACGGCAAAGAACTCACACCTAACAAGTATTTCAAGTGATGTTCATCCTCCCATTCTCACCGTGAATGATCTATTACAGGTGGTGTTACAGCTACTCCTACGCAGTCCCAGAAGCATGTATGCTCTGCATACTGTGTGTCACACTGAGGCATCTGAATTGCCAAGTCCCCGGTGTGATGACCTTCAATTAGAGGATACCAATTGCCTGAGTCATATTAACACTCCATCTCAACAAGTGGAGAGGCCTCTACTGTTTCCTCTCACTTTAAAATATTTGAAACCTATGACACTATTTCCACTTCAGTGACGACTTCCAAGTAATTCCTAAACATCAATTCATCATCTCACCATACCAGAGAGTCAACCACCTAGTATCCTCATTTCGGGTCGATTTGTGGGGACAAACAAGGAGACAGGGAGAACAGACTTACACAGAACTTCACAAAACAGTGGCAGAACTGAGAGTAGGATTTCCCGTTTTCTTATATTGATGTATTTCTGACCCCAGCAAGACTTCCAAAACTTTGCCTCCTTGTCAGTATCACAAAACCCTAGTTTACATTTCAAAGGCAAGAAAAATAGCTCCTTTACAGCAGGCCTGTCCCCTTTCTCTTCTTAGAAACAGGCTCTCTTTTTCTGACAGCTTAAAAAAAAAATTATGAGGGACAACCATCACACTAATCAGTTCAGAAATAAAGCACACTTACTATAACCTTCATCTTAAATTTTTTTACAGAGCTATTCTACAATGCAATGCTGTCGAAACGTAGCTTCTTTTAAGGAGAGCGAGGACCACCAGGAATCCTACAATCCAGTGCACTACAGCAGCTGAAAACCTGCTCATCTGTCAAGCACAGTAGAACAAAAGGCTTCAAAAAGGCTTTTTGTGTTTGTTTTTGTTGTTGCTGCTGTTTAATAAAAAAAATTGCTAACATGCATGGACTTTAATTCAGAATTTTGAAAGATTCATCCTTTAAATCAAAACAAATCCATTTCAGGTGTGTCATCCCAAAAACCTACCCCAACCAAACTTCTGTTTCTCTCCTCCCCTCCATATTAGGGAGATATTCAGAAAAATAAACAACTTTTTTTTTTTTAATACATTCTCTATTGTCAACAGATTACTCTACTAGGAATAATGGACATGTTTTCTTAGCTCACTTTGAACACAAGGTTGATTGTCATTCCACCCACAAATGTTTCTCCCAAACAAGTGCAATTTTGCCAAATATGCCCCACACTAAAGTACACTGCTATACAAAAGCAAAAAGCCTTAAGCCAGTTTTGTTAAGACAGTCCACACATAATTTATTTGTACAAAAGATGTGCTAAGCAAGAGCCATAGCAAAAAAGATCAGAAATGCAAGTCACACTGTCACTTTTATAGTTAGCAAAGGTTAGACCAGAGACACTTGAAGTGTTACTATTCTAAATGGTTCTAAAAATATACAAAGAACATACAGATAAATTTATTAGCAAAAGTGAAAAAAAAATTACCTGGCACATAAATGAAGGAATCACTCTGTGAAAAGTGGATCCTTTATACCCAAATCCTTTTTCACCAGTACAAAGAGCTCTAAAGTTTTCTGTTAAAATAAAGCATAATGTTGCCATACATAATGCACAATATAATCAAATACAACTAGATTAACTATGTCCCAAGTTTATACACTTCAAAAATTTTACAGAATCTTTAAGGTATTATTGCTTTATGGGTTGTTCCATCATTTAAAAAAAATCTCTGTTACAAAACTAAGGAAATAAAGCCTATTTAAGCCTCAGAACAGGGTACAAACACAGCCCTTTTCCATCTCATCTCCCTTTTATTTTGCTGTTATATCTTAACTCCAACCCCCCTGCCTCCCCAAACCCACCATTCTGGAGTCAAAGATTCCATTTTCTGACTTCTATGCCTTTGCTCTCTATAGTAATTGTGGGGGGTTTTTTGTGGGTTTTTTTTGTTTCTTTGTTTTTGGGGTTTTTTTAAGGATATTAATCTACTGGGAACTGAAAGAACAGTACAAGTTTTTCAGAACCACTAAGCAAGCAGATGAGGAAGGAAGCAGATGATGAAACACAAAAACTTTGGAACATGAGTGCACTGATCAGCTAGTGACAAGGAAAACAAAACCCTACACACTCTTTGGAAATTCTAAGAAACGCCATCCCTTTGGTTTAGCCTTTCCCATTTGCTTCGGGTTTGATTTTAATGAAAACTAATGTGATTTTGATCCTATTTATTCACCCCTAATAACCCAACACACAGACTGTACTGTCTTGGCCCAAATTACAAAATGAAACTATCTGAAATAAAATAAATTGTAACTCCTCACTAGCACTGTTCTGACAAAGTCCATACCATATTTGTCTATTTAATAAATGGGGATGGAACATGGAAATAGTTTCCAAAAGGTAACAGAATAGTCTTGTTCCTGGAAAATCACAATCTAAACCTTAAATATTAAAGTGTGAAGTTCTCAAGATGCTCCCTTACCTGCTGTCTTTGGAACCACATCAGCTTTCAGCTGTTAAAGGAAAATAAACATACAAATTAGTAAGTCATCTTTTTCATACACGCATAGAAAAGCTACTATACCAAAGGCCAATACAAGTGAATTCTCTTCCCAAGGTGATGAGCTATCTGAAATCACAAGCCACCTAAAATTCCAAGAACACCTTAAGACCTTCCAACCATTTAGACAGTAACCAAACATACTCCCTCAATGCAAATTTTGGCCAGTTAACGAAGAACAACTTGAGCAGTGTCTAATGATTTCATTGACCAACACAATAATTTAGCAATAACTAAGAATAGTCTTTACAATGGACGCCAGGGATCAAAGCCCACTTTGGATACAACTGGAGAGATCGGTCTCCCTAGCACAGAGCTATCCATTGAAAACCGCAGAAAAGGCGAAGAAAAAAGAAAGTGTAAACTATATATCAAAACCGACCATTGATGCCACATACACATTTATTACCAACAACAATTAATTATTTTGATTGGTATACATCTTTTTACTAATCTTAAAAACATGTGGTATTATAATTGCCTGGAAAAAGTGACGTAAAAACAGCCCTACCAGGTCACACCAAAGTTTTATCTTGTGACACAACCTGACAGTGGCCAGCAGCAGACACCTAGAAACAGCACAGCTGCGCCAAGAAGCTAATGTTCCTTCCCTAGGATGCTTTCCTTGGATGCCTGCAATTTGCAGCTGAATCTAACCACAACTTAGCCAAAGATTCAAGGCAATGCTGCAAAACATTCAGATTTTCTGTAAACTGGGCAAGCTAAAAATCTTTAGCATGGAAATGAAATGCTGCCACAAGAAATACAGTAACATTAATACTATTCTTTATAATACCACCCAGCTATTTACTAAATCTCATTGACAAATAAGGAACTCACATAGAGATATTTTTACCTACAACTCCCACAAAGGCTACCAGCTGACAACGTTAGACTCAGTAATGCCCAATTAATTTATATGCTCACACTTTCAATGAAGAAAAATTAATTGGGCTCTAGCCTGAAGGGAAACCCTTTTGGAGAGAACCTTTATGAACTGCATTTGAAAAAAAAGCCTCTATTGATACAGACCCAATGCAGGTGCCGGAGGCAGAAGGCCACACTGAATACCCTCTGCAGAGAGCAATCCAGCTGAGCAGCGTTCCCTCAGCAGGTGCTGGAGCACAGCCCTCAGCCTTGCCTTCCCACGCACCTCGTGCTTATCCAGAGGCACCTGCCCGGCCCTAGGGATACATGTGCACCGCAAGTACAGTCGCAGCACTTACGGGGCTTTTCGTAAGAGCGGAGTATGCCGCAGTTCTCCTGTTCAGGCCTTCTTTAAATGGCCCAATATTTCAGACACTGAATGTTTAACGACACAGGCAGGCAGGAGCTGGCTGCGGAGTGAGCTGCCTGTCAAACAGAGCTGCGCACACCTTGCGTGGCACATGCAGCAGGAAGCTCGAAGGGGCAGTACCTCACACAACCAGAGAGTAAGAATCAAACAAGAAGCACTCAGGGGAAAAAAAGACAGGAAAAAGGACGATGAAGCCTGAAGAGTGGCTGCAGTCCTCCACGGCGCGCGGCCCCAGCAGCAGCCAGCCCAGGGCAGGGTCC